TTGGGCTGCTACGGAGCTGAAAAATCGATAACGTGGATAATTCCAAGTCAATCAGATCACATATCTTTTACACTGTAAAAGCTGAATCATCAAAGCTGGATGTTAGATAGCTAGTGAGTTTGAGTTTGTGTTATAAACCCATGATTAAGAAGTTCTGGCCGGATCACCTTTGAAAAAGTAATGGCTTCGTAAAGTATTGAACCATCTCGTTAAATCTTTCAGAGAGCACAATTTTGACATGAATTTTGAATCAGAATCGCGTTTTCAACTTTGAGTGTGGTATTATTCTAGAAGTCAAACCATGAGAAATATACTTATATTTATATATTTTATTATTTTATTTGCCCATTTTCTTTTTTTTCTTAAAAAACTGAAGTTGCTTTGTTCAATTTGTTTTAAAAAAATACTAATTATTGCTAATATGTCCCTGTTCAATTTTATTGTGGATCAATTGTTTATTGGTTGGTGACCTCTTTGAAGGTCAAGTGTTTATTTCTTATTTTCTTTTTCTTTATATATACCATTTCGGATCTATTATAAATGATTGCCAAATATATCAAGTATATATGAATATATAAATGGGGTCACAGATGTCTCCCTCTGCCTGTAACATACTCAAACAAACTCATTATAGCATTTTGCCCATTTTGAGGGCCATAATTCGATTTACTTAGCTTGCAACTTTCATCAACTCTGAACAGTATATTAAATGCGTCCTCTATCTTGGGTACACCATACTTTGAGATACCCTACCAATCCCTGCATTTTGAATTCCTTTAAACGATGGCGCAACAGAAACAAAAAAAAAAATAAAAAATTGGATAAAAAACTAATTGCAATTTGAAACAAGTAGCGAGGGCACTCGAATGTTTGTTGCACTCAGAAAAAAAATCATGTTGAATTTTAGAAATTCGCCATACTTTTGGCGACAAGGGTTCCACACTTCATTATTCATCATGTCTTATAATAATTATTAAGCATTAGGATATTTTAAGATTTCACATACTATAGAAATACAATTTACTTAGTTTATACATTCAAATTCGAAGAAAAATTCGAATTTGAATGGCAATATTTGTTTTTCTGAGTGTGGGCTGCAGAGCGTGGTAGCTGGGACTCTGAGGACTCGGGACTCAGGCGACTCTCTGCTGTCAAGTGGCAGCTAGGCTCCTCTCAGACTGCTAGGCTCCTGCTAGAGCCCTGCCTGCCATGCATGGCATGTGCCCGTGGACATTTTCGCACTCGCACAACTTTCGACAGGATTTTTGCAGCATTACAATTAACTGCCTTGTTGCAAGGAGTTGGGGCAGGGGAGGGGTTGCATAGCAAGCAATCGAGTCGCGATGACGTCTCCTGCTGTTGCTGCTGCTGCTGCTGCTGCTGCTGCGAGGTACTGGCCTAAAAGTAGGCGTGGCACAGTGTGTAAGTGTGTGTGTGTGCAAAATTTGTTCCATTTTACGCTCTCTACACAAAAACAATAAATCGCTCACAGCGGCACGTCAACTTTCCTAATGTATGAAGGGGGTGCAGCCTAGGGTGCAGGTGGCAAGTGGCAGGAAGAGGGGTTATAGGTGGAGGGGTGGCTGAAAGAGGGGGTTGTGGTTAGGGCAGCTCTTGGGATTGCCGGATGCAGCAATTGAGGCTGAAGCCATTTTAACTGCCACTTGAATGCTAAAAACAATGAGCACACAGCAACTAAATACACACACACATACACACACAAACTCGAATACTCATAGGCACACACACACACACATATACACATAGCATATAAAGCAACTGTAAATTGTAATTTAAAAACTTTTAGTGGCTGCCCTTGCAATAAATGCGCCACGTAAATCAGCCCATGATGGAGTTGATGATAAAAGGTAAGAGCCATTTTGTGTGTATTTATCTCGCTCTCTCTGTCCCTATGTGTGGTTCTCCTCTCTCCCTCTCTCTCTCTCTCTCTCTCTCTGGGATTCTGTACGTGTCTGCCTGCTGCTTTCCACACACACCTTTTGCTTGATTCTCTGCATTCCACAAAATTAATTGGTGTTGACTATCTGCGCCACAAATATTTTGTTGTCTAATTGCTTAAGCCAGGCAGGACCCACTTGCCACTTGCCACATTTGTGTCAAAGTTCGTTCACTTGTTTCTATTCAACATACAAAATTGATGCACTTAATAGCACATTGCAATTTAACAAGGAACAATTAATCTCGTATGAATGAAAGGAGCTTTATTTAAAGACAATATTAGTCAGAGAGAAGCCTTAAACCAGTACATATTCATATTTGAAGTAGGTGTATTTAATAAATGTTAATTATAATTTATTAAGTCCGACTAACATCGATGTACAGTTGAGCTCAAAATAATATAAAATTTAGAAAATATATTAATGTGTAGACCTTTAAGAAGTAATTGCATTACAGTTTAGTAACAAAAGAGTTAAAATAACTAAGGTCTCCAGGGAATAATAGTTTTGCCTTTCTCGTTGGCTATCAAAATGATCAAAAATGCTTGCAAAGTATCAAAATTGCTTGCAAAATATCTCCATTAGGAATACTTTGTACTTTTTATAGTACGAAGGTGCGACTATTTAAGTTGTTATTGTTCCAAGCTTCTGCTTACTTTTTCTAGTTTAGATTTGCCATCAAACACTGTGCCGATTTTACCAAGCCGCTCAGAGCTCACATTCCCATTGAAGAAAACATATTTAAAAAAGATTATAATGTTTGGCATCTCTGTTCGTTTCCTCTGCACATTTAGATAGCATAGATAAATATTGAAATGTCTTCGGTAAGGTTAATGTCGGTTTTACACTCAAAATCACAACTCAAATCATCAGTTTGGTTTTTTATCTTCTCTTCTTTTTTTCCCGTGACACTTGCGAACACACGATTTTTGTCTATGTTGCGTCGCCGATGTTGTTGTTGCTGTTGCTGTTGTTGGTGCTACAGCTACTACACCTTTTGCATCACACATGTAGAAATACACACACACACACGCACACACCTACACACACACACATTTGCATGAATAAATACGTATGTTAAGCAAAAGTGAGGAAACGTGATTGAAATTTTATCTTTGGCAAAAAATCGAAGAAATATGTGGATTGGGCTTTAGCTGCCGCACAGCTGCCCAAGCTTTCAATATGCATGTGTGTGCCTGTATGTGTGTGTGTGTGTGTGTGTGTGTGTGTGCGAGTGTGCGAATAGCTGTGTGCGTTTGACTTTTAAATTCCTGAACGCTGGCGTTAACCGTCGCTGTGGTTCTGTATGTTATTTGCATTGAAATGTTGAGTAATTGGAAAACCAATCTGGAGCATCTGCACTTCATGTTTTGCATACCAGACTGACTGACTGACTGACTGACTCACTAACTGAATGACAGACGCCAAACAACGCGACGCTTCCCATTTTTTTACATTCTCCCTCTGCTCTCGCTTTCATTTTTTGTTGCATATTTTTTAGCTGAAAATCAAGAACAAATACGACCGCCCATACACACACACAAACACACACACACACACAACACACATGCAGCGCGACAGGTTGATTTTGCTTCTGGCAAGGCAGTTGTTAAAAATAAATTGTTTTTAAATAGCTCTCACAATGCTCGAAACGCTCCCGCGGCACAATGTTGCACGTCCGTATGTGTTTGTGTGTGTGTGTGTGTGTGTGAGTGTAAGAGAGAGAGAGAATACTCAAGTAGAAACTACCCTGTTCCCTAGTCGTAAAGGGAATACAAACTTCCACAGATAAAAGTTTATCATATACCCAGTTTTGTCCTGTCCTGTATTAGATTGCAAGTTGAAAATAATAGAGTGCATTTTAACTTAATAGTTTCCAATGTTCTTTCAGGTTAGTAAGCTGCGATATCAAGTGAGCTATCTGTACATCTTTCAATTCCGGAGTTATATTTCATTTAACTTTAAGAGAGTTAAGCATTTCCCTAAAACTGATTATTGACATAGGTAATTTTTAACATAGATAATAGTAACTAATATCGAAGCTTAAATTTATCTCAGAAGCCCCCTCCTTATTATTACACTCACTCAGCGTATTATTCTATTTGCAATATCTTGGGTTCACTTTATATGTATATCTTTAAACTCCCGAGCTTAAATATTGCAACATGCATTATTGAAGTCTAAATGAGTCAAGAACGTGCCCAAAAACTCCTTCTAATTGATATTCTTCTATTTACAGGGTATCAGGGTAACAACAACAATAATAACAACAACCAGAGTCAAACGACAGAAGCTAACAATCAACACTGACGCTTCCGTTGGCGCTTCCTGGTTGCTGAACTTATTTGTTTTCAATTTTATTATGTTTTTGTTCCCATTCCTTTACACTCACTTTAGTCTTAGCTATGCTGTTGTTGTACTTCTTCTTCTTTTTTGTTAGCCATTTTGTAGCAGTTGGCTCAAATAATTTTGCATTTATTCAATTGTCTTATGACACACAGCAAGTAAGGAGGTGCCCCATCCCCGCCCTCGTCTCAGTCCCTTTCCACCTCCCTTGGGACAGGGTATATTGTCTCAATATAGAAAAGTTATTGGCAATTTGAACTAAAATCCAGGGGAAGGAATCGAGGAGAAAACAGCAAATGTGAAGCGGATGGAAGCAGTTTCAAATGGTTGTTGTTGTATGTAGAGTGGGCGGAAGTGCCCATAACACAATTAACGCAAACATCCTTTCCAAATGCATATCCTTGGGCGAGAGAGTTCGAAGTGGGAAATGCAAAGAAGTCAACACAAAATGGAAGGATGCAACTGCAAATGATGATATTCGAAACAGTTGGGAATATCCTCACAACAATTATGTTCACATTTATTGCTTGTTGCATTCTTGTCCATCCATTATCCTTCCACACTTTTCTCTCTCTTTTAATTTCTTCTATCTGCTGTACTCAGAAAAAAAAACTGTTGGAGTCATTTTTTAATTTGTTTTTTTTTTTTTATCGAATATTCCTTATGCTGAGTGTATTAGCTGAGATTTAATTTAGTTTTCAATTTACTTTGAATTTATTATGTAACCTAATTTTCGATTAAATTTGAAATTATAAATGCTGATCAATGAGAGTAAAACGCTTTCTAGCGGAAATTGATTGCCATCACGATTATTGGATTATTGATCGTCCGTGCATCCTTCTTTTGCAAGAGCATTGCGTTTGCTGATGTGATGTTTGGATTGCATTGGATGTTTTATCGACTGCGGCATTGTTGCGGCGCACTGCTTCTGGTGTTGCATAGGAATGAACCGATTCTTGATTTGATATTTGCGTTTGCGGCGTCGAATTGACTAGCTCATCGAATGGCGCATAATTATCCATGGAGTCAAAGCCGTGAAAGGTCTCATTTGGTCGATTGGGTTCACTGTGAAATGGCTGCTGTGTGGACTGATAGGAGGGACCATAGCTCGGCTCACTGATATCCGTGAGGAACTTTGTTGATTGCCCCGGACTCGGACTGATGCCCATACTCTCATATGCCGGCATCGAAATATCCTCAATATTTGGCTGGCAGACATTCTGATCTCGATACCGGCAACTATTTTCGGTGTCTTCCGCATTCACATTATTAACCGTACAGGAGCGCTTCACTGAGGTCAGCGATGTCCTAAGTGTCACATGCTTGACCTCAACCTTGACGGGTACTGGGCCTTGGGTTTTATTCTGCAGAGATCGATCAGTTTTATTGCTTAGTTGATCGGATTGTTTCTTGATCTCGCGACACCTTGCCCCTGATTGCTCTAAGTTTGATATTTTGTTGTCACTGGTGTGCTTCACTTTGTTTGATTTTGGGCAACTCGACTTCGGAGCCACCTTTGTGGACATTTTATCATTATCTGCCAACGCGGATCCATTAAAGAGCAACGATGGTTTTGTTATATTATCGCTGTTCTCATTTGTCGAACTCAAATTCTTGAATATCGGATCTTTAATTCCGGACTGGTTGGACAGATTCGTGGTGTCACAATAAGAAGGAGCGCTTTGATTTCCTAGCATCTCGCTGGGATAGGATACATTGGCAGGGCAACGCTGACCAGTTCTAGAAATGGGGTTGGAGTCATACATTGATGGCGCTGTTATGTCACCAATCTGTTGTTGACTGGGTATGGCCGGGAAACTCTGGACGCGTCGAGGCGATATTCCTGACTGCATTGAGTCCATGGATATATCTGTTAAGTATTCGCTGGTAACATTCGGCAACTGACTTCGATTTCCAGGGACGCGACTGCTCATGCCACAGCTGGGAGGAGTCACATTATCAAGACGCTCGCTGCGGTTAGTCGACTCGAAGCGTGGTCGTCGTTGATTGCCAGTTATGTTCCATCGACTAGAAGTGGCACCCGAAGCGCCAGCAAGCGAAGGCATTGTTACATTCTCTAAACACTCATTTGATAATTGACCTCTGCCAGAGTTTGACAAATCTGCAGACGAACATTGTTGACGTCGGGGTTTTGCTTCTTGCGACAAGCTTCGCACAGGATGTTTCTTCGGTGAACTAGATACACGAGACACTGGACTACGTCGACTTTTTCCGAATGGTGGAGCACCTGAGTCACAGATATTATTGTGCTGTTGACGAGTCGGATATCTTCCTCTGGAAGCCCCCGATACTCCCCCGAAGGACGGCATATTGACGTTCCCTATGAACTCATTATTAGAGGGTCCTTGACCAGAGCTAGTCATTGCACCAAGTCCGTTACTTCCGAATGATGGAGCGGAATTATCACTGATATTATGGGACGGCATTGTTTGCTGTTGACGTGTCGCAGTTCTTCCTCTGGAAGCTCCCGAGACTCCCTCGAAAGACGGCATACTGACGTCCTCTAAACGCTTATTATTATTATTAGAGAGTCCTTTACCTGAGCTCCCAAATGAAAGCATGTTTTCTAAGCGATCCCTCTTAGTGCACCCACACCTGCTATTTTGGAAAGACTGAGCCAATATGTCACGCACAGTCTGGGAGTGAAGAGATCGCTTTTGATGCGACTGATTTCTTGCTCTTGAAGCCACTGATACTCCCCCAAAGGAAGACAAGCTGACGTCCTCCATAAACTCTGGAGCAGAAGCTCCCGAAACTCCCCCGAAGAAAGTCATATTAACGTCCCCTATGAACTCATTATTAGAGGGTTCTTGACCAGACGTAGTCATTGGACCAAATCCAGTACTTCCGAATGATGGAGCGGAAATATCACAGATATTATGGGATGGCATTGTTTGCTGTTGACGTGTAGGAGTTCTTCCTCTGGAAGCTCCTGAGACTCCCCCGAAGTAAGGCATACTGACGTCCCCTATGAACTCATTATTAGAGGGTCCTCTACCAGAGGTATTCATTGGACCAAGTCCGGTACTTTCGAATGATGGAGCACTTATGTCACAGATATTCTGGGATGGCATTGTCTGCTGTTGACGTGTTGGAATTCTTCCACTGGAAGCTCCCGAGACTCCCCCGAAGGAAGGCATACTGACGTCCTCTATGAACTCATTATTAGAGGGTTCTTGACCAGAAGTAGTCATTGGACCAAGTCCGGTACTTCCAAATGATGGCGCACTTATGTCACAGATATTATGGGATGGCATTGTTTGCTGTTGACGTGTCGAAGTTGTTGCTCTGGAAGCTCCCGAAACTCCCCCGAAGGAAGGCATACTGACGTTCCCTATAAACTCATTATTAGAGGGTTCTTGACCAGAAGTAGTCATTGGACCAAGTCCGGTACTTCCAAATGATGGAGCACTTATGTCACAGATATTCTGGGATGGCATTGGTTGCTGTTGACGTGTTGGAGTTCTTCCTCTGGAAGCTCCGGAGACTGCCCCAAACGAAGGCATACTGACGTCCTCTATGAACTCATTATTAGAGGGTCCTCGACCAGAGGTAGTCATTGGACCAACTCCGGTACTTCCGAATGATGGAGCACTTATGTCACAGATATTCTGGGATGGCATTGTCTGCTGTTGACGTGTTGGAATTCTTCCACTGGAAGCTCCCGAGACTCCCCCGAAGGAAGGCATACTGACGTCCTCTATGAACTCATTATTAGAGGGTTCTTGACCAGAAGTAGTCATTGGACCAAGTCCGGTACTTCCAAATGATGGCGCACTTATGTCACAGATATTATGGGATGGCATTGTTTGCTGTTGACGTGTCGAAGTTGTTGCTCTGGAAGCTCCCGAAACTCCCCCGAAGGAAGGCATACTGACGTTCCCTATAAACTCATTATTAGAGGGTTCTTGACCAGAAGTAGTCATTGGACCAAGTCCGGTACTTCCAAATGATGGAGCACTTATGTCACAGATATTCTGGGATGGCATTGGTTGCTGTTGACGTGTTGGAGTTCTTCCTCTGGAAGCTCCTGAGACTCCCCCGAAGTAAGGCATACTGACGTCCTCTATGAACTCATTATTAGAGGGTCCTCGACCAGAGGTAGTCATTGGACCAACTCCGGTACTTCCGAATGATGGAGCACTTATGTCACAGATATTCTGGGATGGCATTGTCTGCTGTTGACGTGTTGGAATTCTTCCACTGGAAGCTCCCGAGACTCCCCCGAAGGAAGGCATACTGACGTCCTCTATGAACTCATTATTAGAGGGTTCTTGACCAGAAGTAGTCATTGGACCAAGTCCGGTACTTCCAAATGATGGCGCACTTATGTCACAGATATTATGGGATGGCATTGTTTGCTGTTGACGTGTCGAAGTTGTTGCTCTGGAAGCTCCCGAAACTCCCCCGAAGGAAGGCATACTGACGTTCCCTATAAACTCATTATTAGAGGGTTCTTGACCAGAAGTAGTCATTGGACCAAGTCCGGTACTTCCAAATGATGGAGCACTTATGTCACAGATATTCTGGGATGGCATTGGTTGCTGTTGACGTGTTGGAGTTCTTCCTCTGGAAGCTCCCGAGACTCCCTCGAAGGATGGCATACTAACGTCCCCTATGAACTCATTATTAGAGGGTCCTTGACCAGAAGTAGTCATTGGACCAAGTCCGGTACTTCCGAATGATGGAGCGGATATATCATTGATATTCTGAGATGGCATTGTTTGCTGTTGACGTGTTCTTCCTCTGGAAGCTCCTGAGAGTCCCCCGAAGTAAGGCATACTGACGTCCTCTATGAACTCATTATTAGTGGGTCCTCGACCAGAGGTAGTCATTGGACCAACTCCGGTACTTCCGAATGATGGAGCACTTATGTCACAGATATTCTGGGATGGCATTGGTTGCTGTTGACGTGTTGGAGTTCTTCCTCTGAAAGCTCCCGAGACTCCCCCGAAGGACGGCATACTAACGTTCCCTATGAACTCATTATTAGAGGGTTCTTGACCAGAAGTAGTCATTGGACCAAGTCCGGTACTTCCGAATGATGGAGCGGAAATATCACTGATATTCTGGGATGGCATTGTTTGCTGTTGACGTGTCGAAGTTGTTGCTCTGGAAGCTCCCGAAACTCCCCCGAAGGAAGGCATACTGACGTTCCCTATAAACTCATTATTAGAGGGTTCTTGACCAGAAGTAGTCATTGGACCAAGTCCGGTACTTCCAAATGATGGAGCGGAAATATCACTGATATTCTGGGATGGCATTGTCTGCTGTTGACGTGTCGCAGTTCTTCCTCTGGAAGCTCCCGAGACTCCCCCGAAGGAAGGCATACTGAAGTCGTCTATGAGCTGATTGTGAGTAGGTCCTTGACCAGAGCTAGTCATTGGGCCAAGTCCAGTACTTCCGAATGATGGCGCACTTATGTCACAGATATTCTGGGATGGCATTGTCTGCTGTTGACGTGTTGGAGTTCTTCCTCTGGAAGCTCCGGAGACTCCCCCCAAGGAAGGCATACTGACGTCCTCTATGAACTCATTATTAGAGGGTCCTCGACCAGAGGTAGTCATTGGACCAAGTCCGGTACTTCCGAATGATGGAGCACTTATGTCACAGATATTCTGGGATGGCATTGTCTGCTGTTGACGTGTTGGAGTTCTTCCTCTGGAAGCTCCGGAGACTCCCCCGAAGGAAGGCATACTGACGTCCTCTATGAACTCATTATTAGAGGGTCCTCGACCAGAGGTAGTCATTGGACCAACTCCGGTACTTCCGAATGATGGAGCACTTATGTCACAGATATTTTGGGATGATATTGGTTGCTGTTGACGTGTTGGAGTTCTTCCTCTGGAAGCTCCCGAGACTCCCCCGAAGGAAGGCATACTGACGTCCTCTATGAACTCATTATTAGAGGGTTCTTGACCAGAAGTAGTCATTGGACCAAGTCCGGTACTTCCAAATGATGGAGCGGAAATATCACTGATATTCTGGGATGGCATTGTTTGCTGTTGACGTATAGGAGTTCTTCCACTGGAAGCTCCCGAGACTCCACCGAAGGAAGGCATACTGAAGTCGTCTATGAGCTGATTGTGAGTAGGTCCTTGACCAGAGCTAGTCATTGGGCCAAGTCCAGTACTTCCGAATGATGGCGCACTTATGTCACAGATATTCTGGGATGGCATTGTCTGCTGTTGACGTGTCGCAGTTCTTCCTCTGGAAGCTCCCGAGACTCCCCCGAAGGAAGGCATACTGAAGTCGTCTATGAGCTGATTGTGAGTAGGTCCTTGACCAGAGCTAGTCATGGGGCCAAGTCCAGTACTTCCGAATGATGGCGCACTTATGTCACAGATATTCTGGGATGGCATTGTCTGCTGTTGACGTGTTGGAGTTCTTCCTCTGGAAGCTCCGGAGACTCCCCCGAAGGAAGGCATACTGACGTCCTCTATGAACTCATTATTAGAGGGTCCTCGACCAGAAGTAGCCATTGGACCAAGTCCGGTACTTCCGAATGATGGAGCACTTATGTCACAGATATTCTGGGATGGCATTGTCTGCTGTTGACGTGTTGGAGTTCTTCCTCTGGAAGCTCCGGAGACTCCCCCGAAGGAAGGCATACTGACGTCCTCTATGAACTCATTATTAGAGGGTCCTCGACCAGAGGTAGTCATTGGACCAACTCCGGTACTTCCGAATGATGGAGCACTTATGTCACAGATATTTTGGGATGATATTGGTTGCTGTTGACGTGTTGGAGTTCTTCCTCTGGAAGCTCCCGAGACTCCCCCGAAGGAAGGCATACTGACGTCCTCTATGAACTCATTATTAGAGGGTTCTTGACCAGAAGTAGTCATTGGACCAAGTCCGGTACTTCCGAATGATGGAGCACTTATGTCACAGATATTCTGGGATGGCATTGTCTGCTGTTGACGTGTTGGAGTTCTTGCTCTGGAAGCTCCGGAGACTGCCCCAAACGAAGGCATACTGACGTCCTCTATGAACTCATTATTAGAGGGTCCTCGACCAGAGGTAGTCATTGGACCAACTCCGGTACTTCCGAATGATGGAGCACTTATGTCACAGATATTCTGGGATGGCATTGTCTGCTGTTGACGTATAGGAGTTCTTCCTCTGGAAGCTCCCGAGACTCCTCCGAAGGAAGGCATACTGAAGTCGTCTATGAACTGATTGTGAGTAGGTCCTTGACCGGAGCTAGTCATTGGACCAAGTTCAGTACTTCCGAATGATGGAGCAGAAATATCACTGATATTCTTGGATGGCATTGTTTGCTGTGGACGTGTTGGAGTTCTTTCTCTGGAAGCTCCCGAGACTCCCCCGAAGTAAGGCATACTGACGTTCCCTATGAACTCATTATTAGAGGGTTCTTGACCAGAAGTAGTCATTGGACCAAGTCCGGTACTTCCGAATGATGGAGCGGAAATATCACTGATATTCTGGGATGGCATTGTTTGCTGTTGACGTGTCGCAGCTCTTCCGCTGGAAGCCTCTGATACATCTGCGAATGAAGGCATGCTGATGTCCTGCAGAGCTGCTGTGTTACGCTCGTGTTGATATACTGTGGGCTTTTCTGGACGTTGAATTGATCTACTGTGCAACGTTGAGCAATCAACGAATAGAGGACTTACATTATTCTGGCATTCACTGTTCACACAGTTGGCTTTTCCGGGCGAAGCTCCCCTTCCTGCTCCCGAGACACCTGCAAACGATGGCATTGTCAGATTGTCCAAGCACTCGTTATATTCGTTTTCCAGGTTTTCACTATAGTGACTGGTAAGTGTGCTATGGGGAAACGATGGCATACTGACATCTTCCAGGCACGTGTTGTTGCCGATAGATTGCGCTATGAAATTGCTAACATTATTTGGTCGCGCTAGCAATCGGCGGTCCGATGAGTCCATAATAAAAGAAGGAGCACTTTGGTCCGCCAGGCATTCACTTGTCATGTTCTGAGCCGCAGCAATGCGCGTACTCATCGCAGGCATCGATGTGTCTTGGAAGGATGGCATCGATATATCGTCCAACTGTACCGGCATCGAAAAGTGCAAATGACGAATGGGTGCACCCACCACCGATGTGCGTACGCCAGCAGGCGTACAATCCAATGTGGGCAATTGGTCACAGGGTGCATTTGACACTGTGCTGGTCTCCTCCACCTGACTGGTAATATTTCCGCTCGGATCACGATAGGTGGTTATCTTGTGATGCGTTGTATGCACATTGTTGTTCTGCGGATGGAATAAGTTGTCAATAATATGACAAGTAAGAAGTAAAGCCAGATCTTAACTACAGAGTAGGTTTGCTAACAGTCGTGACTCACCAATGGATCTAGTAGAGTATCTCCACGCTGGTGCTTCAAACTATGCACAGTCTGTTGGTAGACGCTATCCGGATATTTGCCAGCTTCATTTTCCGTATGGGCCATGTCTGGTGGCGATATATTGGCCAGATACTCGTTATCAGATCTGGATAGGTGTGAGGGAATGGATACATTGTATGCTGGTGCCGACATATCCGCCAGTTGTTCCTCCGGCAGATTGTTCAGATTAAGGGACTGAAATGGATAATACCTCGCTTGTCGCTGGTGCTGTTGCTGCTGACGGGGCTCATCGTCAGTCTCATCTGCAATTGGATTAGGGTTGGTCAGAATGCTACACAACTGCACAGCAACTACAAACATCTTAGGTTGCGAAAGAAGCCCGGATGGCGCCACTCCTCGTTGCCTGTCAGTCCAAAATCACGAGGATCGTATTGTCGCACTGGCTGCTGTTCATTGAAACCAGGTCGCAGATGTTCCGGCGTATTGTTCAAATCATTTTGTGGCGACGGACCTTGCTCCTTGTGCATGCTTGCCAAATAAAATTGACCTCAAGAATTCTACCCAATACTTATCTGTGTTGTAACAAAAACTAAACAAATACTTTCTTCCAATATACAGTTGCCAAATTAATAACTTTGAATGTTGTAAGTCGTTTGAGAGCGACGCCTGCTTAAAGACTCATTCAATCTGCTTTGAAAATCTTTCCTCAAGCTATTAAATTAGATTTCTCTTCTAACTAGTTCAGAGAATAGAGACCTGAGATCTGAAAACAGAAAGCAGAAAGCGCTTCCAGCTACTTTTACACTCAACAAAAAAGCACACTGAAATTTAAAAAAGCGCGAGACATAATTGGTCTGCATTTTATAAAAACCAACACTGGAAAGGAAAACAAGACACAACTATGATATTATAATTTCAGATTAATAAGTTGAGCTACTCTAGGCGATTACACATATTTTCTCTGAGTGTAGCATGCTGCATGCTGCACTTCCGTTTCGTGCCACCAAATACAATTAACACACAAGCGCATAGTTTTTAATTTACAGTTTTACTTGTGCTTCATTGGCTTTCGAGATGGCTGACTAGCAACTCGCAATTCTTAAGAGCCGCTGTCTGCTTCAGGTGTGTACGAGTCTGTGTGTGTGCCTATGTGTATGTGTGTGTGTGTGACGTTGCGGTCGACTTAGAGGGCTGGCAAGTCGTCACATGAAACCGCTTTCATTTCCGCCAAACACAATTGCATCATTAGCGATGCAATCTCCGTTACTTAACGTAACCGCAACATGCCGGAAATGAAATCCGAGGCAAGCTGGCGCGCCCAGTTCCAAGCTCCTGGTGAACGACTCGACAAGTGACTCGCCGAGCTAAATTCAAAAAAAAAAAAAAAATACGCCCAACACAAAAACCAAAACCTGCACAAGAAAAAAAATAAAAGCTGGCCAAGTCTTAACAATGTCGAAGATTGCATACCCTTGCCGTGGTGAAGACAAGCAATTGCAAAGCTATATAATACAATAATCAGAGGGGGAAACAGCTTGAATCGCCATTAAATCGTGCAGATCAATCAAATCTTTATTTTATTTATTACAAATAAATTAGGCAACTAAATACTTATTCTAAGAAGTCTGTGCATTTTGGAAATGAAGCAAGAACAAAACTGAATAACAATAATAATAATAATAAGATAATATCTTATTTCTTATAATGAAAATCGATCATCAGTTGTATGGATATCTGCCAAGTTTGCAGAGTGATGAGAATGCATCTAAACAAATAGATGCGTGTCTCTAACAAGCGGCACAACAAAATGCGTATGCTTCTGGGCCGGGGTAGAAAGGCAGAAAAGTCGCGTTGCAAAGGAAATATGACGTCGCCGTGTGGCACACAGTCAAAGAGGAGTTGCGTCCAGGAGGCAGTCGCCCAGTCGCCAAGGATAAAGGAAAACAACCGGAAAGCAAACGAAATGATGCTGCTGCGCACAAATAATCGAATAAAGCCGCAGCTGAACCGTAGCCCCATGACTCTGTGTGTGTGTCTGTGTGTATGTGTGTGTGTCTGTCCGGACCAACGAACAGCAGCAGGTGAAGCCAGCGCCCCGATTCGCCGGTTCCCCGGTTAGCCAAAGTCAGAATCCCGCTGACAGTGTGGCGGACATTGAAGCTATTCCTTCCTCTACTCCTGCTCCTCCACCTCCGTCTCTTCCATCGCGTCCTCCTCCTCCTCCTTTTCCTCCTGCTCCTCATTTATTGCATTAGTGCGTCCCAAGGATGCAGGGACAAATGATTACGCGGTGTCGCTTCATTTAGCTTGCTGCCATTCTGCTGGGAAACTCTGCCACTCTGCCACGCTGCTTCAAATATTTGACTTAAGCTTTAGCAAACACACATGCGAGGGTCAACGAAACAGTTTCAGTTTCAGCAGACATCGTGAATCAGACTAGAAAAGTTATTCCTGGTTTTGTGCTTGAGTATGCAACCGGTAGTTGGCAGCAACTCCGACACCATCAATTGTATACACACAAATATACACTGTATACATTTTTGATCAACATCAAAATACGAGTAGATCTAGTGTGAGATCTCAGAGGCATTCAGAGCTGGAAAGACACACAATTTGGGATATAAATTATTTTTATTATTTACATTCACAAAAAAAATACAAACAAAAATTAAAAAAATGTATTTATGGCAAAATTTGTGGTAAAATGGTTAAAAACTTTCCACAGCCAGGTTACGATTTTCAAAAACCAGGGCTACTCCATCAATGTTCGACTTCTAGATCCATACTACTTTCAATCTGACTCCAAAACTGGACACTTGCTGCTGGTGTAAAGTGTTTGTTTTCGTTCCTCTCGTTGGACAACTTGACAAACTGCCCTCGCACACGTGCTCAGCTTCAAATGGAATGTTTGAGATATGTGCAGGCAATCAACCAGCTATTTGCATATGTCTCTCTCCCTCTCTCTCTCTCTCTCTCTCTCTATTTCTCTCATTCTCTCGCTCTCTCTGCAACTCTGCACCTTTTGGCACAAACGAGCGTCTTCAGAGACTCTAAGGCGATTCACCTTTCCTCCTTGGAGTACAGCCCACTCCCCTCGTGTACCTATATGCGCTTGCCAAGTTGTCATTTTTCGCGACGCTTTGTGCCGCATTAATGTGCATATTAAAATGGACGACGAGGCAGCCCAGACGAACTAAAGTTGCCTACATCAGACTGACTGAATGACTAACTGACATCATATTCATGTAGGGGTAGCTTGAGGAGAGGACAGGTTTGTGCTTGGCTCTACAAAAGAGTTTTGCCAGTCAGCCTCAAGGCTACACAGACTTTTGGGGAGCACACAAGAAAAGAAAAAGAAAAAAATAAATAAAAAACCAAGTGGGGTGACACAAAGTTCGGGGAACGTTTAGCTTGCTTACTTTTCAATTTGGTAGGGGTGGGTTTTTTCTTTGCTGGGAGGGGGAATGAAAAGAGTTTGTTGCAGGTAATTGTGCCAAAGTTGATGGAATTTCTCATCTATAGCATTTCTTGGAGTATGTTGTATGTTTACTGTACTTGATACTCGCTGTTGTTCTTCTTCTTCGCAACACACTTTATAAATCCTACATTAATTTGTAATCATGGTTAAAGCTTTGTATTAATCTCCATTTGCGCTGATCTCATTGGTGAAGCTCGACTTAAATATACTATTTAATTTACAAGTGGTTTAGTAATAAAGCACAAGTACAACTGAAAGGTGATCTCAAGAGCAAATTGAGAACACGACGACGTTGTTTAAGAATCGAACATAGACTGCTGCTGAATTGCTTCGGCAGGTTTATTGAAAACTTCAAAGTTATATACAATTATTCTTATCCTACTTAGGACATTATCTAGCTACATATTTACTGCTGCATATGCATCTAGACTCATTATCCTATCAGTTCGGAGAACTATTATCGCGTGAGGTTTGATTACGGTCGCGACTGGTGCCGCGTACATGTCTGTTCACGTCTTTACATATATTTTCGATAAGAATCCTCCTTGGTTATCTTACCATTGGAAGATTGTACAGATACCCTGTATTTGAAGCACTATTCTAGATGATGTACAACATTTTTATTCCATTTTCCCAGACACTTTTTAAAGGGAGTAATTTTAACATGAATGTCGAGTCTGATTCGCGTTTTCAATGTTTTTGAACCTAGTTTTCCTTTCCAGTAGAACCATTATGAAGTAGCCCTGGTTTTTGAAAATCGAATCATATAAAAAAAGATATGATTGATAAGAAAAATTAGTTTTTTGGTTCTTAATACTCAAGAGAGTATAAAAAGACTTTAGCCCATTTAAAAATTCCCAATGTTTAACAGCTTGAAGGCAATCAATTTAAGTCCATAAAGTGCTTAATGGTAATTTTAAAAAAGCTACATTTCGAATTTGTTGGGACAACAACAGGCGCCATCTAGCGACAACGTCAGCCAACAAACATTGAGAACGTAGCTTTATCGAAATCAAGGCAGCTGTTAACGAACAGCCACTGTTAATTAACAGCTACTGTTAACCAACAGCTCTTTGTTATGCTTAACATAAGAACAGCTTTTTTGAACTAAAACGTTTCCGATTCGAATTGGATTGAAAAGAAAATGCTTTTAACAAAGTGTATATAAATGTATATGAACTGTTTTTAACAGCGACAAAGTTGCTTAGTGATGCCAACAACAAGAATTGACCAAAACACCAAAAAAAGCACGCTTGTTGCCCGTGGCAACCCAAAAGTCAGCTGTGGCAAATTGGTTGCTTGTAAACAAAGAAATAGTAAAAGGAACATGAACAAATAACTGAAATTGATTAAACGTATTTGCAAACATTTTTTAACGAGATGTGCTTCTGAATGGGGCTGCGATGCGCTAAGCTGCGCCGCTGCTCCTGGTGCGCCAGCTCCTGCTCCTGCTCCTGGTGCTGTTGCTGCTGTTCTGAGCCCGCTGCCACGGAGCGTTTCAAAGTGCTGCTGCTGGGTGCCGCTGGCAGCGGCAAGACCCAATTGGGGCATCTGCTCAGCGGAGAGGAACGGGACGCGGCGGATTTGGGACCCACAAACGGAGTGCGCTGCTATCGCTGCCAACCGGACGCTGGCTGCCTGCTGCTCCTCACCGAGGTGACATTATCATCTGCAAAATAATACAAATAAATATATGTAAATAAATAAATGTGTGTCGGTTTAAAGGTGGGTGGCAGCGAGGATATGCAGCGGATCTGGCCACACTACTATGCCAGCTGCCATGCGCTCATCTTTTGCTACGAGCTGAGCGACAGCTACGAGGAGCTCCTGGTTAGCTTTCGGCTGTTGCAGCGCTGCCTGGAGCATCGCGAGCTGCGTGGCAAGCCGGTGCTGCTGGTCGCGTGGCGCAACTGCGATGGCATCCAGCTCTACGATGTGGCGCATGCCTTCCGGCTCGAACAGCTGGCCAACGAATGCGGCTGTCCGCTGCACATGTGCCATCTGGGGCACCAACGAGACGTGTGGCACGGCTTGGCCTGGCTGCAACGTCAGCTGCACGATCGAGCGCCGGCCTTGGCGCAACGCATCAAATATGATCTCAATATGCAGGTAAACAAAGATATATATATATATATATGTAGAGGCGATCAAAATAATATAAGTGCAGACTGAAATTGGCTGTAATAATATTGACGACGTTTAAATGCTCAAAATCGTGAAATTTATCACAAGTAAGCCGGTCAAAATAATACTTGTGGATTAGTTGTGAAGCTTTCAAAATAATAATTTATAAATATGCGAAACGTTTTTATTTTTTTATAAGAAAGTATTTTCTCGTTTCAGTGCGCTTTTTTCTCTGAGTGTATGCATACTTTTCTCTCATTTACTCCACATATGTATGAAGAATATGCCCTGTCTCATTCTGTCCGCAAACTGTTAAACATACAAACATACAAACAAAGATATTCACTTCGCATTTGCCTTTGTCTCATTCCCTCCCTTGCAGTCTTGGCAGCGGCGCAAACGCACTTTGCTCTCCAACGGTAAATTGGCGCAGGTGCATCGTCAGCGCTTTCGACGCGCACACAGAAAGGTGAGCCAGCACTCTTCTCCCGTCTCGCTCGCACTCGTGCACTCATGCTCTCATTTCTCTCATTTGTGTGTATTTGCAGCTCTGGCCACTGACACTGGTCTCTGACGTCACGCAGCCGTCGCCCCTGCGTCCACGCACTGCGCCGGCCGCCATCTTTACTGCGCGTACGCAACAACCATAAAACTGCCTCCGCAATTAACATAAATATGCAAGTGTGCCAAAAACAGTGTTTTTTTTTTGCCATAATAAATCAAATGCATAACACACATTTTACAATTATAAATATAAATATAAATAGTTCTGTAAATTTGCCCAGTTCAATGACGTCAGCCGATCGATAAATCGCTGAAATTCACTGGAATAACGAATGACGACATTACCAGGGCTGACAGCTGTCTTCACTGCTTGTCACTCACACAAGCTGCTGCATTAATGAGTTATTTCGCATTTATACAAATACTAAACTAAACTAAACTAAACCAAACTCAAATTGATTGATGATCACTGCCATAAATCATTTGTCATAAATTTGCGCAATGCGAAATGAATTTAGAGTTACAATGTGTGTTATTATTGAGTGCAATAATTGGAATCGAAACAATGACAACTCGATAACAAGCCAAGCACTCCAATGAAGTGAGCAATTTGTAAATACAGCATTTACTAAATACAAATTTCCATTATATTCAGCTGTAAACTGCATTTTAAAGTTGTCAACGAAATGGCGATTTTTGCTTCAATTTTGTTGTGGGAATGAACGGGAAGGATGGCTAACCAGAAGTGGGAAGGGGGGAGGGTGGAGGCTATAGTTAAGCTATAACTGCAGAATCTACCGTTTGTCCTCCCTCTCCCTCTGCAGCACCAGCCTGGCGATAACTGCCAGCCGATGATGTATTGCAGAATAGCAATAAGTAAACCACAACAACACCTCACAAGCACATACACACACAGGCATATACATGCACATGCATGCATGGATATACAAACAATTACAAACACTAACAGAGTTTGCCATTCCACTCACACACACACACACATGCGCTGGCTGCTGACATTGATGATTGCGACTGTTGTTGTTGGTGTTGTTGTTGTCATCGTCTGGAGACGCTTGAACGTGTGCCTCGTAATAATCCCAATATATAAGCCAGCCAAAAATCCCAACACACACAAACACACACACACACACACACATACATGCATAAATAAACATGTGTCGCCGTGTGTTGTAACGTAAAGTGTAAAATAAGCATCAATCATCGCTTATTCGAGTTGTCATCAATCACACACACGCTGCACACACACACACACACACACACACACATCCTCACATAGCAAAAAGTACAACTACAACAGCACAACGTGGAAGCAACAAGCACCGTTATCCTTGGTGGTTAGTGTTGCACACTACCCCTGTCACTTCTAGTCATTCACCACTCACCCTGCCGCAAAGCATTTACAAACTTGCCGTGTTTAAATTTTGCAGCCCCTGCTGCCGGTTAGAAGCTGGACGCGAAATACAACCCTGCTCTTGTAATCAGGATTTGCCAGTTATTAAATCATCAGGTTGCACGATCAGGCAGCACGCCCCAAACCGCTGTCACATGTCTGTCAACACTCAAAATTTAGGAGGAGGAGTAGAAAAAAAAAACTACAAGAAAATTATCAACCGACTGAGCAATACTCTCTTTTGTTTTTGTTCACACACATACAATTTGTATTTATAGATAAAGTATGTAAAAAGGATGGCAACGCTGCGCGGAGGTGCATAGCAAGCAGCAGGTCAGCGTTAGCAGGAATTTCTTAAGAGTTGGCAGACTGTGCAGAAGAAAGTGATTTAATCAGTCTACATATAAATGTACAAATATTAATGCATTTATATTATTTAATTCAGAAATAATATATTCCAAGACAGACACACAGACACAATGAAAAAAGAAGTGAAGCGTAACCAAATATTCTGAACCCCTCCATTGCCCTTTTTGCTGCCCACTGGCAATGTTGCGTGCGTCAGGGCAGAAAATAAAGATTTAATCGGCATTTATGTATGTATTTTTAGGTTTTATGATAATGCCCGTCGTAATCGCCTTTATTTTTCTTATTTTTTATATTTTTTTATATGAAACTTAACGAGTTGTCAAACGAGTCCTTTCGCCCATCCAATTGGAATGGGAATATGTCGTCATTTCAAGAGCTCTCTGCTCGAGTCGAAAGAAATACATAATAGTATTAAATGCATTTGATTAAAGAGTCGAAATATGCGCAACCATAAATTGAACTTGAAAATAATTATTTTATATCACTAACAACGTCCACTATCCGAGCGGGAAGAATAACAAAGACAAAACAAATGCGTACAACAAACACAAAGAGAACAGTTACACCTAACTGTAATGTGTTCATTCAGTTGCTGGTTGCTAAATGGACAGAGTGAAGGATATGACGACTACTGAGAGCAGGTGTGGAAAGAGAGAGACATAAAAGGAAATAAAGAAATGCAAGAAATCAGATCTGAAGAAAGCACGACAGTTGTATTCGATTTAATTGTTATTTTTGCCTCAGGTAACTTAAATAAAGAACGCGGCTTGTTTAACCACAAGTCAAACAAAAAGTTAAAGAGTATGTGCCAGTCGGATACTCCTGCCTATGACTGAACTATTTACAACAGTTAGAAATAGATTCTGGCAGCCATTTGAAACGTGCAAAGAGAATGAATTAGCTTATGTTAGTTATCGATCTCTAGGACGCTGCATGTTATCGATCGCGCTCAATGCAATCGTGTTAATGTTAATTGCTTGTGTGGTTTCTTATTTTCTTAATGATATGAATACTTTGCCTACCACAGAACACAGGAAAAGTGAAATTATATTAAAGAATGGCATAAAGCGCAGCACAACTATTAACACACAATGAATACAATAAAACTGGCAACGCTGCACAGTAGTCAAATCATAACAACTACAACCATAGCAACACCAAGAAAAGGGATTCTAATTTCAATTTTCAACAAATAGCTTGTTATGCTGAAATGGAACTACTGTTTTTGTATAATTTCGGAGCGATTCTAAAAACGAAAACTGAAACCACACTCAAACAATCAGACAGACAGACAGACAGACAGACAATTAAATGAAAGTCACGCCGCTTTAACATTTTGTGGTCAGACGAGCGAAAGAAGGCGAAAGAGCTATGCCAAAGGGAGTGTGAAGAGGATACAACGTGCCTTGCCCCAAAAAACCTTACACACAGTCAGACAAGCAGACAGACAGACAGACAGACTATAGAGTGGAGTACACTCAGAAAAAAAAACAGTAGTCATGAATTTAAAAGTCTCTTTCGACGACTCTGCTTATTATTCAGAAAGTATATACATCTGTAACCATTACTATATATCTATCTACATTTAATATATTATTATTATAACAGAATTCTTACATTATTTTTTTTTTTGGGTTCTGTAAATATTGAATTTTTTCTAAATAACGCGAGGGGCACTCAACTCAGATTTGGACTAAAAAAAACTACTATATCCTATAGCTGCCTTGTGCCTTATCGTGAAATTTCGAAATTGAAAATGATATTAATAATATATAATAATAAGAAATAAATGAATTATTCTCTTGGGACGCACAATTTTTTCTGTCAGTGTCAGCTGGTTGGCGGCAGACTTGCAGCAAAATTAATTTGCAACACTGTGCGCTTTTAATCCACACATGATACAACACTCTGTAGAATCGCCCACCTTCCTCCCATCCAACACTCGGCCCCCTGCCCCTTCATCTATCGGCGTGTGCGACTGCAACGAAAATCAGAAAGCGGATTAAACGTATTCGTGAGAACTCGTCAACGATTTCGCACCTGTTTGACGGCCATACCCCCGCAGCCCCCGCCCCAGCTCATCACCTCTCGCTACTGTTGTGTGTGGCAGAGTGGGCGTGGTCCGTGGGCATAAAATGCCAATTAGAATTTCAAGTTCGCAGTCCGTTGAAGCTGCCGAGCGTGTAAATAGAGTCAGAGACACAGAGAGACAGAGAAAGAGAGGGGGAGAGAGAAAGCACACCTCGGGGCAACTTACACACACAACGCACACAGCACGACATCAATGGAGAATCACCCTTTGCGATTTTTTTGCGCCAACGCAAATTGTTTATCGCCTTCAGGGCGCTTTATTAACTTTACGGCTGACCGAATCAAGAATGGGCTCCAGAATAGCTCTGCAGGGTATACGGGAGGTGGAGGGACTGTGTGTGTGTGTGTGTAAATCTCTCAACACTCAAACCGACCTGAACGGAACGTCGAACTGAAACTGAGCCCACGGCTCTTTTGGCCGAGCGCCTCTTAACGGGCTCTCGATTGTGATGTGTTTCTTTCCATTGAAAATGGCTATGGCTATGAAACTGGTATCATGAAGTTGGACTGATATTTATATATATATAATCGATCTAGGCATGTCCGCAACCAAATGAACTCCCAATCTCAGAGCATATGAAACGGAAACGAACAAAAGTTCTCGTCTATTTTGAGTTAATCGCGCTTCTGTCATTTTATCGATAACAGTCACCGTCGATAGAAATCAATTTCCGGTTGCAGTAAAATTCACAACTATCCCACTTTTTTCACATCTCTCTCTCTCTCTCTCGTTCTTACTTGTATACAATTCGATTTGATATGGTTTGACGGGTAACGCACACGCACACACACGCACACACACACACTCCCACACTCCTCTAGCACCTTGCTTTACGGCTTTTGACGGCTTCCGGCTGTTTTCCTTTTTTTTTCGATTGCGGAACGCGGAAATGCACTCAAAATATTAAATGCTTCAGTTGTTTGCAATTATTGTGCGCTGGCCTTGTGCTTAATTTATAATACGGCCGTGGGATTTCACTTAACAGCCTGTCCAGCTGCTCTCTCTCTCTCTCTCTCTCTTGACCACGAGATATGGAGGGAGTTGGCGGCAAATTTTCTGATGAAAATGCAGTCGTAATTAATATTTACGCATTTCTCATTTGGTGTCTTTAAAAGTTGTTCCCTTTTGGAAGAGTTCACCAATAAAACAAAACCCATACGAAGGCAGCCAGAAATTATGTAAATACACACATATATCTATATGTATATATTTTTTATACACCTATATAATAAAAAACTGTTGCCCTAATGAGCTAATATTGTCCTAATTGGAAT